CGAGCGCCGCTTTTCGGGGCTCCACGGCCGGCCCCCGGGCTTTCTGCACTGCGCCTCCTTCGGCGACCCTCACGTGCGCAGCTTCCACCACCTCTTCCACACGTGCCGTGTCCAAGGCGCGTGGCCCCTGCTGGATAACGACTTCCTCTTCGTCCAGGCCACCAGCTCCCCGGTGGCTGCAGGGGCCAACGCCACCACCACGCGGAAGGTCAGGAACTCTGCTCCCTCCTCACCAGTGTCCCAGAGCCGGTCAGGGTCTCTCATTGCCGCCCATCCCCACACTCCGCACTCCCTCGTTCACCGCGTCCCCGTCGTGCACGGACCTGTCCTTGTAAAGTTCCTTCCCGGACAACACTATAAAGAGGAAATTGGACGCGGAGCCCAGGGTTGAGGGGAAGTTGCTGAGGTAGACACCTGCCAGGAAGGAGGGGGCTAGGTTGGGAGGAGGTAACACTGGACATACCTGCAGGAAGTAGAAGGGATTGGAAGTGAGGGCTGTGCTAAGTCTTGCCTATGCGCTTGGATCAGACTCAGACTGTGTGAGGGGGCTTGACTGGACTGGGGAGGGGAGCACTGAGCCTCAAACGAACGATTGCTCCTCTTGTCCTTACAGCTCACCGTCATCTTTAAGGACATGCAGGAGTGCATTGATCAGAAGGTCTACCAGGCTGAAGTAGACAATCTTCCTGCAGCCTTTGAAGATGGTTCTATCAATGGCGGTGACCGACCTGGAGGCTCAAGTTTGTCCATTCAAACTGCTAACCCTGGCAGCCACGTGGAGATCCAAGCTGCCTATATTGGCACAACCATAATAATCCGGCAGACAGCTGGGCACCTCTCCTTCTCCATCAAGGTCGCTGAGGAGGTGGCCAGGGCCTTCTCAGCTGAGCAGGACCTGCAGCTCTGTGTGGGAGGGTGCCCCCCAAGTCAGCGACTCTCTCGGTCTGAGCGCAATCGCCGGGGCGCTTTGACCATTGATAGAGCCAGAGAGCTGTGCAAGGAAGGACTTCCAGTTGAAGACGTATACTTCCACTCCTGTGTCTTTGATGTTTTAATCTCTGGTGACCCCAACTTTACGGTGGCAGCTCAGACAGCTCTGGAGGATGCCCGGGTCTTCCTGCCAGACTTAGAGCAGCTGCATCTCTTCCCCTCGGATGCGGGGGTTTCTCTTTCCTCAGCAACCTTTTTAGCCCCACTCCTTTCTGGACTCTGTTCTGTGGTATTGCATTGAGTAACTGGGCCAGCAATCCCATGACTAGTACGGTCCTATATGGGACCGGCAGGGAGGAACATAAAGAAACATTGAAAGAAACAGGGAGTTTACAGACGCCTGAAGCAATGGTGCTTGTCCAGAGTCACAGGAGGCTGCAGCCCAGGGTTGAAGTGATCACAGGATAAGGAGTCTGGAAAATAGATTTTGCATTCCACACTTCTCGGGGGGACTGTTCACCACATTTCTCAGTCCCTTTAATAGCAAGCAGATTGTTCCTGTTCATGTACTCTTGAGATCACCCATACAAGTTTAGGGTTTAAGGGAGTCTTGATGGTGGGTAGAAAACTTAAGGGTTGAGACTTCTGAGAGCAAAGAATTGAAAGAGGAAAAGATGCTAATTACTTTATTTTTTCACAACCTACCCACATAAGAGAGGGTATAACTGTGTGCATTGTTTGTGTGAGAATGCCGTATTTATAAGAAACTAAAGATCTAAGTTTCTCTTGGAAAGTGGAGTGGGGATAAACCCAAAGCAAACTCACAGCCATTGAGTGAGTCCTGACTCCTAGTGATCCTGTAGGACTGACTAGAATTGCCCCTGTGGGTTTCCGAGGCTGAGGGAGTAGAAAGCCTCATCTCTCTTCTGTGGAACAGCTAGCACCCTCGAACTGCTGACCTTGTGGTCTTCAGCCCAACATGTAACCCACCATGCCACCAGGGATCCTATACGTGGATATATGAAAATATATACACACACATATATATATGCGAGCAGAGGCACAACATACATATGTACTATATATATACACATATATGTGTACCTCTGCTTTCATATCAATGTGCACCTCTACGTTCTTTGTTCAGATAAAGGGGGGACTGCTTGGATTTTAGGTGGAAGAGTCTGTTTTTGGAGAATGGCACAGATGGAAGAGAAATGATTGTTCCCACCCTTACTAATCGGTCATTAAAGCTATGAATTCCCCACATGCTCCTCTGCTGCCTATGTTTGATCTCTGTGCAGACACTTGAAATGGAATAAAAGTGATACTGTCAGTACACTGGAAGAGGACCCAGAACATCAGATATACCCTCAAGGTGTTTCCAAGTTATGAAAGAAACAGCTGACTCACATGAAGGAACAATGGATTCACTAGGAACTCTAGATCCATGATGTGATGGATTCAGATGGAAAAGGTTGATGAGAACAAAAGTAGCCAGCAGTAACAACCTGTAATAGAAGAGAGGGGATTTCAAGTGAGCTTTGAAGGCTTGGTAGGATTCAGATCGATAAGGACCTTCCGTGCAGTAGACACTGTCTGAAGTTATGCGAGGCGCGCTGGGGGGCGTAGTGGTTACGCGTGGGCTGCACTTCGTCCGTGTGTTCCGCAGTTCGAAACCACCATCAGCCGGGAGAGAGACTGGGCTTTCTACTCCCAGACAGTTCCAGCCTCAGAACCCACACGGGGCGCTGAGTCCCCACTGACCAGATGGCAGGCTGGTGACTGGGAGGACGTCGGCAAGACCACAGAAGGAACAGGGAGGGCCGCGCAGGGAAACAAGAGGAGCTAGTGGAGTAAAGCAGCGGTTCTCAACCTTCCCGACTGTCACACAGTTCCTCGTGTGGTGGTGACCCCCCAACCATGACATTATTTTCGTTGCTACTTCATACCTGTAATCTTGCTACTGTTAGGAATCGGGCAACCCCTGTGAAAGGGTCCTTTGACCCCCAAAGGGGTCGCGACCCACAGGTTGAGAACCACTGGTCTAGACAATAATGATGGCTACATATGTACATATATGCTTGATACAATTAATGTGTGGATTGTTATAAGGGCCCCCAATAAAATGATCTTTTAATTTAAAAAAAGGCAGGGTGTGATAGGAAAGTTAAATGAGCAGAGACCAGATTATGAAGTGTCTTGAAAGTGGTGCCAAGGAGTTGGGCCCTCCCCTCTTGCCTCAGTTTCTCCACCGCTCGTCTCCCCCTCCGCCTCTGAGAGCAGTGTGGTCCTGGGCCTACTGCAGCAGTTAGCCAGGTAGTGCTGACGCCTTCCCTTTGGCCTCTGCAGGCGCAGGAGGCTGCAGAGGGTTACCAGCGCTGCTTGATGTCCCAGTACAACGGCCACGACAGTCCCGAGGCTATGGCCGACCCCAAAGTGCAGCAGATCCTGAGTGACCCAGCCATGCGGCTCATCCTGGAGCAGATGCAGAGCTAACCTTAATTGAGCTAATGCTAATTTAACATCTGGGCTGTCAAAGTCCTTAACACTTTAAAATGAATCATTCAGTTCCTTCTCACAACTTATTTCTTTCGCTCTGTAACCACTCCTTTTTTTTTTTTTTTAATGGGTTAAAAGAGAGGTCAAATGATAAGGTATTATACATATATTAACTTGTATTATTTTAAGCTTCATTTATTCCTGAGTCATGAGTTTTTGCTTCTTCAGTTTCTTCTGAGAAATCTTTTCCTCCTGTGCAAACTCCTCTTCTGGTTTTAGGAACAGTGTGTTCCTTTTCCGTGAGGCTCATGTCAGTGTGGCAGGGGGAGTGCATGTGTGGGTTGATCCGACTGTGAGCTCTGTGAGTCTGGCAGCGCATCTTGGGGGCTTTGTTCACCTGGATGTGCTCAATGACCAGAGAGTCCACATCTAAACCCTTCAGTTCAGCATGACTTTCTGCATTTTTAAGCCTGTGAAGCAAAAATTCACCATTCTTTTTTGGGCCAAAGACCCTGGATCCAACCCACTGTTTGGCCTGGGCACACCTATCAACGCCACCATTGCTGTAACCACTCCTAATCTTGACTAATCTTGTTCCTATAAATCATTTTCCTTTGATGGGAAAGGGGAGGGTAGTGTTCCTACTTATTTTAATAGGCAGAAACTAAAATACTAAAAGATTAAGCAACCTGCCAAAATCAAACAAATGGCAATGCCACGGGTTCCAGAGCGTGAGCGATTCGCCACTACACTGTACTCAAGTCAAGGCAAGGGAATCGGAGTCAGTGGGCATGCTCATGAAACTGGGCAGGGAACAAGCAGCCTGTCTGTCAGTGGAGGCCCGCACAAGAGCGCCTTCCTTCCTTCCCCACATGAAGCAGAAGGAGTTCAGGAGTTCAGGAGTCCAGTTTGTTGAAGGAAATATTGTTCATGTGTGCTTGATCTGCGGTAACTGTGCTTCACTAATCTGTGGACAAATTTAGAACAAATTTATGAAGGAGGTAACATTTATGTTCAGTATCTCCTCCCCTTTTCTGGTCTCAACCTTCTTGCTCTCCCCCCTGGGGTACCCCAGGACCTGGGGCCTGATTTCCCTGCTGGTGTGGTGGTTACTACGGAGCTACTAGCTGAAAGATTCGCGGTTCGCAAGCTGTTCTGCGGGAGAAAGACGGGGGTTTTGTGTTTCTGTGAAGAGTACAGTCTTGGAAACCTCCAGGGGCAGTTCTTCCCCTGTCCTACAGGGTTACATTAAGTCCACATCAACGTGGAGGCAGTGAACTTGTTTAAGTGCAAGTCATGTCCTCACTTTCCTCTTCCGCCCATTCACTGCATAAAACTCCAGACCACTGCCATGGAGCCTTTGAATCATAACGACCCGGCAGGTCAGCACAGAGCTGCCCCTGTGGGTTTCCAGGACTGTACTCTTGGCGGGAGTAGAAAGCCCCAGCTTCCGCCTGCTCCGGCTGTTTCAGACTGCTGACCTCCTCCCACTCCCTAAACTTCCCCAGAGATACATACACATTGACCAGAGATTACCACACAGGGTGTCCTGTCCCTACAATTTTCATCTCCTGCTCCCTCCTCTCTGCTCCTCTAAGGGACAAAGCCTCCCTGCCGTTTCTTCAAAACATAGTCTCTGAGCTCTCTGTGTTTTAGGGATCTGCTAAAATTACTTATTTTTCTTTTTGTTTTTAATCATTTTATTAGGGGCTCATAAGACTCTCATCACAATCCATACATACATCAATTATGTAAAGCATATTTGTACATTCATTGCCTTCATCGGTCTCAAAACATTTGCCACTTAAGCCCCTGGCATCAGGTCCTCATTTTTTCCCCTTCCCTCCCTGCTCCCCCTTCCCTCATGAGCCCTTGATAATTTATAAATTATTATTTTGATATAGTTTGCCCTGTCCGACGTCTCCTTTCACCCACTTTTCTGTTGTCCATCCCCCAGGGAGGAGGTCACATGTAGGTCCTTGTAATTGATTCCCTCTTTCCAACCCATTCTCCCTCTACCCTCCCAGTATCGCCACTCTCACCACTGGTCCTGAAGGGATCATCTGCCCTGGATT